ATGTCTTTCTGTCTGTCTCTGTCTCTGTTAGTCTGTCTGTCTGTCTGTCTGTCTGTCTGTCTCTCTCGGTGTCTGTCTGTCTCCGTCTCTCTTCAATTGGAACTGGAACTCGGCTGTCCGATTTTCAATTCTGAGCCAAGATCTATTACACCACCCGCACATCCAAGCTTACAGCATATCTCTCTCTCTCTCTCTCTCTCTCTCTCTTTCTCTCTCGGTGTCTGTCTGTTACTCTCGCTCTTTCTCTTTCTCGATATCTGTCTCTCTCTCTCTGTCTCGGTTTCTGTCTGTCTGTCTCTCTTTCTCTCTCTCTCGGTGTTTGTCTGTTACTCTCGCTCCCTCTCTTTCTCGATATCTGTCTGTCTTTCTTTCTCTCTCGGTGTCTGTCTGTCTGTCTGTCTGTCTCTCTCTGTCTCTCTCTCTCGGTGTCTGTCTGTCTGTCTGTCTGTCTGTCTCTCGGTGTCTTTCTGTTTCCTTCTCTCTTCAACTGGAATTGTAACTCGACTATCCGATTTTCAATTCTGAGCCAATATCCATTACACCACCCGCACATCCAAGCTTACAGCATCTCTCTCTCTGTCTGCCTCTCTTGCTGTCTTTATGTTACTCTCTCTCTCTCTCTTTCTCTCTGTCTATCTCTCTTTCTCTCGCTGTTTGTCGTAAGCCTCCGAAGATTAATGCCGATTATTTAGAAGCAATTGACAGTACTTAACCACAATTTTACCATATCTACCATCCTTCAGAATAAATTGTTTTCAGCAATTATACGTCAATCTTTTCTGATATATTCTGCTCTTTCCTGATAATTATCGATACCCGCATTCTCCACCTATGAAATCAGTGAGGTTACAGATTATATATAGATTATATATATATATATATATATATATATATATATATATATATCAGTATACGATGATATAAACCACAGACTTTGCTGACTCTTATCTTAAGAAACTTTTCTAAGCTCTTCCACTTGTAAGTACAGCTGTGATAAATCTAACAAAAACTTTGTATTCATTATTTGCGGCCATAATCTTAACATAAGGTATGCAGATGACACAGTGCTGATAGCAGACACGCAAAGAAAAAAAAACTACAGATGGTGGTGAAGGAAATCAAGAAAAGAGGGTTAAACATCAACTACAAGAAGACAGGATGCATTGTTGTTAGTAAAAGGGACAGCCCCAAAAGGCAAATTACATATTGGGGATACCAAAATTAAACAAGTTAAAAAAAATTACATATCTGGGAAAGGTTATAACAAAGAACAATAAGTGCGACACTGAAATCTGAAGTTGCATAGGGATAGCCAAAGATGCCTTCCAAAAGCCAAGCAGAGTATTAAGAAACAGAAAAATTTCGCTAGAAAACAAGAAAAGAGTACTGAACTATTAAGTGATAGGTATCGGCTTATATGAAATTACTTGGGAAAATAATGAAAAAAGTGGGCTTAGAAAATCTGATACTCACAGGATGGGTTGAAGGCAAGAAGAACAGAAGTAAACAGAGCATAACCCACTTAGTGAGCTTGAGTAAATGGATGGCGAAACAAGGTTTAGGAGAAATAATATAAAGACAATATTTATTAAAAGCTACAAAGGACAGGAAATTGTGGAGAGCCACGATCGCCTACGTCCCAAGGGAACACACCATATAAAATGAAGAATGGACAATAATATAAGAATCAAAAGGAAACAGTTGCAACTCTAGAACACGATTTTTGATGAAGATATATATATATATATATATATATATATATATATATATATATATATATATATATATATATATGACAAAGTATTTCTGATATTAAAACCTATTTTTACACTTTCATAGTGTTTTGATCCAATTTTAGGGCGTTAACTATTTGCCCATAGCTGGGACCCTAACAGGTGCTACCACCCCGGGTCAGCGTGGATCTGGGAACGCCAGCAATTAAGAGGTAGTTCCAAGCTCCTCAAAACCTCCTGATCAGAGGCAGTGTCGTTGGACGTAGTTTATCGTCATACCCAGGACACGGATGTAGTTTATCGTCATACCCAGGACGCGGATGTAGTTTATCGTCATACACAGGACGCGGATGTAGTTTATCGTCATACACAGGGCGCAGCTGGTGGGATCAGCACTCTATGCGGCAATCAGAATCAAATTTGGCTCGTTCAATTTTCAAAGCGAATCTCGAGATCTTGAGTAAGAATTTCATCCACAAATGATTGATTGACTGATTAACTGATACTTTTAATTATTTAAAAAACTGCCAGGCGTCTAGATACAAAAGGCGATTGCAAGCATATTTACAGGATATCGTTATTAAGTGGTTGTTGAACGAAGTAAGATAAAGTGGAGATAAGGCCAAGAATCCCCGACGTGCAAACTGATTGATTTTTTTTATGGTTTATCAACCTTTTACACAGTTATTTAAAGCCAGATTGTAAGAGTTTTTGGAGACAGTAATGATTTACTGACACGAGTTCTACTAATTAACCCATAACCACGGGTTGGGGAGAAGAAGAGGGGGATAAATACGTTTAGCAACGGTATTTACGCGGAAGTGAATATAACAAACCTGACAGTGGAACTCGGCTGTCCGGTTTCCAATTCCGAGCCATAATCCATTATATCATCCGCACATCAAAGGTTACACCACCTGCTATTCTCAAGTAGTCACCTATCTAGTTACTGACCAGTCTTGACATTGCTTAACTTCGGTGATCGTGCAAGATCAACGTGGTATGGCACAGAAGCATCCATAAAAGCATCTACTATGCAGTTTGTTGCTTGGAATTGAAATTGTTTGTGACACCAGTCCTATCACTTTTCACACACACACACACACACACACACACACACACACACACACACACACACACGCGCGCGCGCACACACACATGTCTATCTATAAAAGGTAGCATGTGTGTGTGTGTGTGTGTGTATAACGAATGCACGGCCGCAATTTTCGACGGATTTGCACCAAATTTTACATGCACATGCTCCAAGTTCGCGGAAAGGCCAAGACCGACGTTGCATTTCCCAACTCCCATCGATAGTGGAAATAATCTGCATGGCACTTTACTCCAGTTGGCTCATTCGCTCAATGTTGATTCTGATTCCGCAGAACTGGGTTGGGTGTGAAATAGTATTTGTTGTTAACATTTTTTTTCATTCGGTTTTTCCAGTTACGAGTCCTTTTTTAAAGCTGATCGTTTTGTGCTCATTTTGTTTAGTTCTTTTTTCGTAACAGATTTAATGTTTAGTATAGAGCTTAGAAAAAATTCACAGTGTGAGATAGGCAAGAAATAAGGCATGTAGCAACATCAGCACGGCAAAGGGCACTCCTTTAAAGGCAAGGAAGGGCAAAAATATTTTAAGTCAAGTGATAGCGATTGCTGTACGATTTTTGAATCAAGCACGGGCAACGCCGAGCTATGCTGTTAGTATATATATATATATATATATATATATATATATATATATATATATATATATATATATATATAATAATAATAATAATAATAATAGTTGGTCACTGTATTTGAGGATACTTGTCTACTAGGGTGGCTAGCCAATCCCTACTGCAGACGCTCGCTTACGCACATTTGTGTTTTGCTCAACACCCACAGAACCCACCTGTGGCTTATACTGCAACTATGCTGAGCAGACCTTAGTTACAGTTTCTGGGAGTGAGCGTATTACCTAGCGTAAACAACAATGTGAACAAGGCCAGCACCCTCAAGCCCACGATGAATTGTAGCTTCGTGCTAGCACAGCTATCGACAGCCAACAAGACATCCGATTACCCAATTTCACTCACATGTCTTGAAGTTTGCGTTCAAGCTTGACACAAACTGTCGCCTCAGTGTCCACTTTTATATTTTATGTGTACATACGCCCTCTCTTGCATTGTACACTTTTACCTATAAATATAGCATACTTTAAAACTATCTATTTATCACCAATTAAACATCAATTGATGATACCCACCAGCGACTGTTTCATTTCTTTACTAATTCATATATATATATATATATATATATATATATATATATATATATATATATATAAAAACAGACCAATTTTAAGGTTCCATTGTAATAATTTATTTCACCAGAGCCCTTTTAAAGGACGTCAGATCGTCAGATAGCACTTAAAAAAAATGAAACGAAAATGAAAATATTAAAATATTAGCTCTGGATTTATATTGTGCTCTCAGGATTTCATCCTCCTTGGGATTACCCATACGGATTACCAAGTTTTTCATAATATATATATATATATATATATATATATATATATATATATATATATATATGATAATAAAAAAGCCTTTTACAAACCCGGATCGTGGTAAAGAACTAATCGAAAACTAACAGATCTCTTTGGAAACAACACATTCTGAAAAAAAAGGATTCGGCCGGAAAAAAATTCCCTTCATCTTTTATTTCTCGTCTCTGGTGTGTCAGAAAATTTCAAATTTTAAAATTTTTCTCTTCGTACTTCCAATTGGTCAAAAGGTCTACTAATATACAACAAAAGGCCTTCTAATAGTAAATGTTATTAGTCATGTTATCAATATTATTATTTGTGCCATATCTCCTGAATATCTTTCACCTGCCTATTACATATCTCTCTCTTTCTTTCTCTCTGTAGTTAGCTAGTAGCTAGCTAGATAGGTAGATAGATAGATAGACAGACAGACAGACAGACAGATAGATAGACAGATAGATAGATAGTGTGAGGATAATTTATCGTCTAAATTACGCAAAAATGAAAATAACACTGACATCTCATTTTAACAGATATATTTATAAAAAAATTGCACAAAATTATCTTAAAATACTAAAGAGTAATTTTATTCAGTAAAATCCTCATTGGCTTCAACTACGGCCTCCAGACAACTTCTGAATCTCCTGCAACTCTTCTGGACGGTCTCCTTGTTTAAGTTGCTGACATGATCCTTGCCTTCAGTTCATTTTTGTTGTTGCAAGGATTTTTTGATCCCTCGCTCATCTGTACCTCACACATAATAATCAAGTGGGGTGCAGTATGGGGAGTTAGGTAGCCAGGTGTAAGGGGTGATGTGGTCGCAGAAATTGTATGACAGCAATAACTGGGTTCTCCTGCTTATGTGGCATGGTGCAAAGTCCTGTTGACCTCTTGACCCACAAGGCACTTAATGTAGGCTTCGTTGTTGTGTCTGAGGCCCTGGAGGAAGATGAATGGAGCCATAACGTCGCCATCTCTAGTGGTCACGCCAAACATCTTCTTAATCACCATTAGACTAGTCCAATCCTCTACTGTCTACAGACTGACAGCCAAACGCTCTGAAATGTTCATATTGGAGATTCCAGCGCGAATGCCAAGAACATGCCGTTTCCAAATTTTTGGTGGGTTCAGGGTGATCTTTTTTCGCACAGAAGCTGCCAACCTGACACGACTATACTGTGCAGTCGCCAAAATAAAAAAAAAAAATACGCCAAAATAAAAAAAAAATATACGCCAAAAAAAAAAAAAAAAAATGGCGACAATTTACCTATCGCACCCTGTATGGATTTTTCCCTTCGAGAATGACGAATGAGTTTTCAGTCATTTTTCTTCATAAACAACCTGTACAATAAAATTGATTAAACTGATTAATGACCTGTGCCCTTGTAAGGCA